GGAACCCCCTCTGTCACTGGCTAGTGGTAGCTCATTTAAACAGATGGCTTTGTTTTGATTTGGACTCTCCATTTTTTTRTCTCCCCACTAAAGGAGACCTGCAGAGCTCTGTCCAGAAAGGGAGCAATACAGCCGCCTGTTCCCACACAAGTGGGGCGAAAGGCGAGAGGCTTTGAGAATTCCCTGCTTCTTTTCCTCGCCTCCCTCTTTTTCTCTTCCTCCAAGAAATCACAGTTTGAGAATTCCCCCCTACTCCTCCCGTTGGAAAGAAAGACAGAGAAGACATTCTTGACATTCTTTGCAGAGAAAAGGGGTTAAATGTCTGAATTTGGGGGTCACCATGTTATACAAATTGCAATCTAATCGTTTTTACAAGAACACACGTGTGCTAAGAAAAGGAGCTGTGGACGAGAAAGAAAAGGGGATAGACAACCTTTTTTGTCCTATCTTCTTTTTTTTTTTCTCCTCAAGGTTTTGGACTATTGTCATGTCCTGTCTCTCTCCCCTCCTCACCCCCGAGAGGGAGAACATTGGTTTTATAGTTAAATTGGTTCGTAAAGCAGAAGGGCTTGGTGCCATTTCTGTTTGTTTTCCCAAATAAAAGCCCCAGCAGGGTCTCTTTTGCACCGTTGTGGCTTTATTTGAAGAAACTGGCTTTTTCCCATAGCCCAGTGTGTCAGTTTATCCTCTGAACTTAACCTTACGGGAACCCGAACAACAAAAACTCACAGGGTCCCAGAGCTGGAAAGGTAAAGAAATTGTATCTTTTTATTGGACCATTTAAAACGTGTGTGGGCCAATTCAGAGAAAGCAGAAGAAAAGAAGGCAAAACTCCCTCTTCTGTCTCTCCCCCCAACACAATCTCAGACCATCGTTGGTGTCTTTCCCCCCTACTGTCTTGAGTCCCTTCAGCTGCACTGAGGAATCAGAGAGAGGCATTTGCCCTGAAAATCACTTGAAACCGCATCTCTGAGCCATTTCACTTGAAGGTGCTCCCTCAAAATTCCCCAAGGCAATCCCACACCTCCCTGCAGGAATTAGTAGCCTGGTCTAAAGGCAGGGGCAACTTTGGGGTAGGATAGAAGAATAACTTTGCCAAGGATCTATGTCTTTCCCTATGTATAATACAGATGTTGTTTGATCAARCCTTTCCCTTCTTAGCATACATTGCTGCATCCCCTCATTGCCTCAGCTGCTATTGCAAAGCACCTGGAAGAGACAGCAGCTCAGCTCTTCCCTTTGGTTTTGGTGCACTCTTCAAATTGGATGACAGAAATTGTGCAAATGCTGTACTTGGGATAATTATTTTTAAATGGATTAATTTTCCTTTCTCTGTTTGATACTCAGATTAAATATCCCAGCGTTTGGAACTGAACAAGGCTCTTTCACCTTTTTTTTAAAGTATATGCTTCCCACCTGTCTTGTTGCAAATAGTTCTTGGGGCTGAAATATTGGTTTAGAGCATAGTTTGGTTTCTGAATAGTCATCTGCTTATGTGCAATGGATTCTCCTCTTTGATGGATGATCACAGTTCACAGATGAGGTTTCCAGAGCAAATGAATTGTCCTCAGTTTTGCACATCTCTGTTTTCGACAGATGTTTGGCATGCAGCCGTTTCCTAGAATTTGCATAGTTATAAATTCTAGTGAATTTGGGTCACCAGAAATGGAGGATAGGGAGAAAAGTGTTATTTCATCCTAGCTTTTCAAGTGTAGTTTTTCTGTCTTGGAGACAGCTGGGCAAGACCTGCAGAAAATGGACAGGGTCCAGGAAGGAAGGTACACACTCGTTTTGGGCTCTGAATATCAGAAAGATCTCAGGGAAATCCTGAGCTTTTATGGCCACACATATGCAACAAATAGTTGCAGTGGCTTGGAAGCTGTATATAACTTTAACTTGGTGAAGCAACATCCCATGGGTTATCTGGAAAGTAACCATCTGGGCTCTGCCATGACTGATCTTATTTTGTCTTCRTACTAGTGACTGTGGAGGAATAGAACTTGAAGCTGTTTTTAAAAAGAAGAACAGGAACTTAGAGGAATCAGCCTACTTCTTCCCTTCACTTTGCTTCCAGGCTGCCTATCTTCTGGAGGTATCAGAACTATCCTCATGGCTAGATTTCTAGCATGGAAAGAGTGAAATTTGGAAATCCTGAACAAGTATCTTATTTTAAAAGTAACTTTAAAAAGTCTTGAAGGACTTGGAAATTGATTGAGATAAATCAAAGGATACTGTATAGTGTCTGAACAAAATGCTTTTCATTTTTGGACTCATCTGTTGGATAAATTTCCCAGACATGTGGACTTTGTTTAAACATTTAGTTCTATCACCAAATGAGTCCTATATGAGGAGCTGCACCTCCCACCTGAGAGCTGCTTTGGCTGACCTGTTCTTGCGACAGGAGAACTGAACTGATTAACMAGTCCGCAAAGCAAGGTTTATTTTGCTGCAGTAATTTGTGAGTGCTCRTTTTTATGCTTGAAGAGAAAAGCTAATAGTTTTCTTTTTCCCTCCCTTTTTTTGCTGCCTTTTCTTTCATTTTTGCTGCCTGCAATGGCAATAAAAAAAACAAAGGAAAGTGGAGGAAGGAAAACTGGTGTGACTCTATTGGGATCCTTGGGTAGCACTGCAGTGAGGTGTGAAGATATGGAGAAACTCCAGGAGTGAAGCACCTGGATGGTGCTCCGGGTCCAAGCTGCTGGTGCTGCCTCAGGCTTGCTGCAGTAGCTCATCTTGTAGGAGTAACTCCTCGCTCCTGCCTGAGCAGCTGGCAGAGGATTCTGTCAGTTGGGCAGTCTGGCCCCTTATGCATCTCACACGTAGTCCAAGGATTCTTGTCTGTGAGAACAGCTGACTCCTCCTCATATCTCTGTTGTCTTACAACACACATACAACTTGTAGGATGAAGCAGGTTTTGCAGAAGCCTTGAGAAGGGCTGCGTGCATGTCCRTTTGTCCTGCTGGCTTTGCAGAATGGCAGATGGAAGGGATCCTTGTGCTTGGAAGGGCAGGGGAGTGCCAGAGCACTCATGCCCATCCATGCCTCACTGCATGGTGGATCTGAGGACCCATCTGTGCCAACCAAATCTTACGACTCTTGCTCACGGTGCTTCCATGAATGCTTCAACCTCTCAACCCGCAGACAGGTGCAGAGTTGCTGCTGGGTTGGTTTACAAGTAACCTTCCAAGGGTTAATGTATTGTGAGAAGGTTGCAAAGGGTTGAAGCCTGGAATCCCCTCGATCCCTTGCCTGGAGAAACACAAAGTCCAATAAGCCAGCACCCCTGGATTCGTGTTGGGGGGGATTAATTCATGCACTTGATGTTAAAGCTTGTSCGAGAGGTTTGCATGGGGGGGCCATTGCTAGGGCTGGTTGGCCTCTCTAAATGGTTGCTAGGGCCCTGGCATCAAGGGCCAATGTAGCTGCCCACAGCCACGGTCACGGAGGGAATTACACAGCCACAAAGAAATTGTTATTCTACATAATCTGCTCTTTGGAGAGTGACTGTGGGGAAACAGGCTGGCCCCAGCATGCCGCCAGCTCTGTGATCATAGAAGCGTGCTGGCTGCAAAGATCGGCCAGGGCTCGCCTTCTGATCTGGGGACACCAGGGCTCGAGGCACTAATCTGCTTTATCAGCGATTTCTCTCTCCTGACACAAAGGTGTTTACTTGTTTTAACATCTCCCAGGACTCTATTTCTCCTTTTGTGTGGTCTTTATCCCCCGACGAGGGCTTTAGCCCAGATTACAGACAGAATTAAGGCATTTGGCGATGTGCCTCAGAACTGTGTGATGCTGGATCAAGGAGCAGAATGTAACAAAATAATGGAGGGAGATGCTGGGAGTGACCCCACTGCGGGATCCGTGCTGTTGGCTTTCAGGACTGCTTCATTGTCCTGAGAACCAAGAGCCTGTTGGAGAGGRGTGCCCCTGCAGCAGAGTTAGAAAAGCAGGTGCTTCAAGTTTTATTGTGTCCAGCATTTTTGATGTAGAGGGTGTGAGGAGAAGAAGAAGGAAGAAAAGGAGGGTTTGCAATAGGTGGCCGTTTCAAGCAGCTGGGCAGATTGTCCTCTCCATTCTCAAGAGTCTGTCATGTCTGGATGCCACTGGCTGCTGCAGCAGGTGGAGTGATACTGGGATGGGCTGTACCCTACATCTGATGCAATTTCATGTGACCCAGGAAACGGGCTCAAGCTTCTTGAAGTCTGGCAGGGTGGGACCTCACTAGGCACCATCCATCTGGTGAGCTGCTGGTTCTGCACATGAGCAAGCAGCAGAGTGATACTGCCACAAAGCACCCAGCATAGAGTTTCATGGAGATCTTGCTTTTGCTCTTTCACTACAAGAAATGAATTAAAAAGGAGGAAAGGGTAAAAAAAAAACCTAACTTTTGGAAGGTCATCCCTAGAGCAACCACCTTGGGGTGGTTGCTCTTGACATATCACTTTCAGCCCCAGATACGACGTTTGCAGAATGCAGTGTAAGGGGGTTGAAGGGAGCAGCCCGGGCAGTCTGCCGTAAGAGTCTGATTTGTCTGTGGATCTGTGCTGTGTGTCAAAGATCCAGGGAAATACCCCAGTGGGCAGTATTTTGAAGGACAGAGTATGGGATGGGATTGAACAGGTAAATGACTCTTGCAGATTATCTGGAGTTTGACTAAGTTGAAAGTTTTGTCCTTTGGAAGTGGAGCCATATAATTCAGAATASTGGTCATTTCTCCCAGGGAAAATGATCCCATTCTGCTGGAGGTCAGCTGCACCTGTACCTTGGCTCTTTCAGCTGGGACTCCTGCTGGTCAGTCCACTAACTTCATGACAGTTAGTGGCCCAATCAGTAGCAGAAGCTGGGGGTGGGAGAGGAAAACTGTGCAGGCTTTTGTATTCTGTTAAATCACAGAAATGAGATCTGAAAGAYTCTTGTGACACCGTCTCTGCCTTGGCCAGCTGATCTGTAAGGGGTTTTTGCTCTGAATGACTCTTCCCTGTTGTGTTTCATTACAGTGGTCAGCTGTTGACCTGTTTAGGGACCGACTTCCACCGTGGAGCTGGAGTCCTGGATGTATTCTACGAAACGCCTTCCCTTCTCCTTTCTTGTGGGTATGACACCTACATCCGCTACTGGGACATACGGACCAGCACCAGGTGAGCCTGCTGGCATCTGGGGCCCACACGAGGCTCCTGGACTCGCCTTGTGCAGTGTCTGGGAACTCAGCTCTGCTGAATCAGCTTCTTCAGGAAGACTGGATGGAGGAGTGGAGGCTCACCCCGCTCAGGTTTGTGTTGTCCTTGCAGGAAGTGTGTCCAGGAGTGGGAAGAGCCCCATGACAGTGCTCTGTACTGCATAAGGAGCGATAAGAACCATATGATTGCCAGCGGCTCTTCCTACTATGGTGTAGTACGCCTCTGGGATAAGCGGCAGACTCGGTGCCTGCAGGTGAGCACCAGCGGGAGGCTGGGCAGCAGCAGAGCTCTTCAGCTGTTCTCTGGCAGCCTCTTGGCTCATGCCTGCTGGGAAAAAGAAAGAGGGGCTGCTGGGCTGTCTTTGGGGCTAGTCTACCRTGGCAAACCTAACGTATATGGAGGGAAAACCTGCTTTTCTCAGACATCTCAGCCTTTGGGTCTGTAACACTGGCCAGGGTCTTTGGGCTGAGCTCTTCTCTGAAAGATGGATTCTCCTGTTTTCTTGCAGAGCTTTCACCTGTCTTCACCCACCAGCAGCCCAGTGTACTGTCTCCGTTTCAGTACCACCCACCTGTATGCTGCCCTGGCGTCAGCCCTGCACGTCCTGGACTTCACAGCCTYGTGAAGGGCACCACAGCTGCTTCTGGTGACCCCAACTCAGCAGAGCTGACACTTGGCTCAGGGAATTGCAGGGCAGGAGAGGTGAGAAAGGCCCACAAAGCTTCTGAAGGGACTTTTTTGCCTCCCAGAAAGCTACAACGAAGAGTGCACAAAGGGCCAAACTTTCTCAACCTCACCTGCCTGTTAGTGAAAAAAGCAGGCCATTTGTCCTTTACCCTTTTTATTTTGTGCAAGTCAGGGTTTGTTTTATTAACTGTGTTCCTTTTTTTTTTTTTTTTTTTTTTTTTTTTTTTTTTTTTTTTTTCTTTTTTTTTTCCCTTCTTTTTATTTTTTTCCTGCGGATGCAGCATTTGAGGGGCAAGTTGAGCCAGAATGCCCCACCAGCTGGGTGCTGGTCAGGTTGAGATCAGCCAAGCTCTAAGGATGTGAAGCAAGTCTATGCTGTATGTGGGGTGGACTGATTTGGTGGAAAGGAAAGGTGCCTGGAGCGAGGCCCACCTTTCTCCTTAACTTGCTTTCCTAACAGCTGCTTGTGTTGTCCTTCACAGCCAARAGCAACAATTGAGCTAAAAGGCAGAGCCAGCCCTGCTTTCAGTGTGCCTCCCCAAGCTGGCTGTCAGGTCAGGCTGTGCACTGGGCAGGGCTGAAATGGTCGTGTTTTGCTAAATAAAACTGAAAGGCAACAAAAGAGATTGTACGTTTTGTTTCAAGCTCCGAAGGGCTGTGATTTTACCTGTTGATTAGAGGGGCCTGGCTGGGTGGGGGACGTTGGACCTATTTTCAAAGGCTGTCTCCATTTCTAATARATCTCTGTCCCTGGCTATACCCTGTGACACTGCTGCATTGAAGGCAGGTCCTGGGAGCTTGGATCTCCCATCACTTTTTCAAACAAGAATTCAAAAAGTAGGATCTGTGRCTCATTTGGTGCCTGTGTAATGAAGCAGCAAACCAGACTAGTGCAAACACCTGGATATGATTTACTGGGATCCTGTAGGCACATCCAAGTGGGCTCTGCTCCTTCTGAACCTGGTGTGGGTCTCTGAACAACCATAAGTTTCAGTGTGCTCTGTGCTGTCTGGATGATGTGGATAATGTGCTSTGAGTGAATATGGTAGTGTCTGGGGTCTGTCCCTCCTTGGGGAAGGAAGTGTGGGAACCCTGCTTGGTTCTGAGTTTGGGTATCCTGGATAGGTAAAAGAGAGGTTTGTATCGCAAACTGAGAGCACTTCTAGGGTGAGCTGTGCAGCATAATGCTTTGTTAGAACTTAGTTCATTTCCACTGTCAAGAGGCTACTCTTCCCTTGTGATGCACAAGAATTGGAGGTATATGTTTGCTGGAGCCCTGGACTCTTAGGAATTGTGGTTTGAAAGCAGCCTTGTCAGGGGAGCTATGCTGGGAGCCCATGAGCAGCTCACTTGAAGGTRGGGTTTGTAGGTTTTTTTTGGTAGTAACTGTTCAAGTATGAACTGGGACGGAACAACCTTCAGAAATCTAAGCAGGGGGACAGCTGTTGGAGAGGAGTTGCTAAAGCAGCACTGTTGGGGTGTTGTCCCTGTGCAGTGAGGTTTGCARTGGGCCATGTTTGTGCCTTCACAGAACAGTGGGCAGCTGTTGCTCCCGAGCTGCCCAGCGGCGTGGCCACTGCCTCCCCTTTGTGCCATGCAAATGGAGGCAGCTGCATGTTGGTTCCTGTGCTCTGCACAGCCCTGTCACCTTGTGCATGGCTGGCACTAAGGGAGCAGCTGCTTGTCYTCCTCTTTACCCTGTTTCATAGGCTATGCCCACTCAGGTCTAAGAACTGATGCTGTTTACAGAGATATCAAAGTCACCAGAGCATCCTTCTGACTGCATGGAGGACCTGCGTAACTGCACAGGAGGGAGCTGCTTCCAGGCACATCCCAGGCAAGTAACGGGTGTGAGGAGGGAGCTCTTGTTTTCCAAACATTACTGCCTTCAGCAGTGATGGCAGACGGGGAATTCCCAAGGTGTCATGTTGCTCATGGAGCATGGGGATGGGGCTGCTGGTTGTGAATGTGGTGTGCTTCCTTTGCATGTTACAGCTTCTCACAATTCATGGAAGGATCATCCCCATCCTTGGAAGTTCCCAGCCAGGTTGGATGRGGCTTTCAGCAGTCTGCTGTAGTGAAAGGTGTCCCTGCCCGTGACAGGGGGCTTAGAACTAGATGATCTTTAAGGTCCATTCCAACACAAACCATTCTGTGGTTTTATAAAATGTCTGCAGAAATCAGCAGACCAGGCAGCAGAAAGGTCAACTGCCCTGCATCTCCCTGGGCCTACAGAGATTCCTCCAAATGGCTCTGTTAACAACAGAATGCATTTTTATTGGATAAGGCAAAATAAACACCATGAAGCTGTGCCAGAGAGCTGCCCCTCACCTCAGCCTCTTAGCAGCCACTGCCTACTGGGTCTTACAGTCTCCATCCCCACTGTTAGCTGCCTTTATCTTCTTCAGCTCCTTCTGCAGCTGCTCTTCTGCAGCCAGGATCTCCTTTGGCTTCTGGTACTGTAGGACAGAGAGAAATGCCCTTAGCACTCCTGAACTCCAGTTCAGCCTCTGCTCCAAGCACACCAACTGGGACCTGTTGCTGCCAGCCCAGCAGGGGCCCTCCTGCCAAGGGAGGCAATGCCATTACCAGCTGCCTCTGAAGCCCATTTAGAGAGGTGGTGCCATGAAGCAAGAGACGTGCCAAGTTCTGGACTGTCTTTCACAGTGCAAATAAAACTTTCCAGTTAGATGTGGAATCCTGGCCCCCACCATCCCCTCTGCAATATCCTGGCAAGCAGATACTTGCTGTGCTCACTGACTGTATGCTCACAAGTGTTTTTCTAATATATATATATAAATATAAAAAATGTGGGGTTTTTTTAATGCAGAGGAAAGTAGGAGTTGCAGTTCCTCTGTCTTTCCCTCAGAGGCCTCTCACCCAGCTGCAGCTTAGTGGTAGATGCAGGTGCTTATTGCAAGGTCTGGCCAGTAGCAAACAGAACTAAGGAGGACTCAAGGTGCTCCTCTTGGCCAGTTTCCTGCGCATGTGCAGCCCAGCTCTGCTGCCAGGTTTCCCACGGAGGGCGTGCTTTCTGTGTAGCTGACTTCTGCAGTAAGACAAGCACCTGTTGCTCAGAAGCATCTGTCTGCTCCTTGCAACAAGAAGTGGGTGCCCACGTTGCTAGTCTCTTGCTTCCACCATGTATGTGGAAGTGTTTCTTTCTGACACAAAGCAGCAGGTAATTTTTTTTAAGATGTGAGGCCTTGAAGTACAGCAGGTCCTTGGACTATTACGCTCTGAGACAAGAGAAACTTAGTGTCACAGAGTGAAGGCTTGCTCAGGCCTGATGAAGGGAATACATGGAAACTAGGCCGTGACAGACACTCTGCCACCTGCATGTCACCTTGAGCAGCAGGCAGGGCCCCTTCTGCAGCCTGGGATGTCTTGGCTAGTGTCAGCATGCCCAGTGTAATCTGAAACTCCCACCAACTGTGACAGAGAAGGGGCTGSATGGGTGACCCTCAGCAGATCTCCCTGCTCTGCCTCATTTCTCCACGTGTAAGAACTTCAGCTTCTTTGTGGACATAAAGAGAAGGACAAAGTGCTGTTCTTCATGGCTAATGCCTCACCGTGATGATCAGGGTATTGTTGGCATGGGTGAAGCTCAGGGCGGCTGCATCCAAGGGAAGGTGGTATCGGTCCAGGTCAGGAATAGTGAACTTTTTATAGTACCTATAAATGAGAGAGGAGACAGAAATAAGGACGGTGAGCTTCTGTTCCCCAACTAGCAGTGCTGAGACACAGACTGTTGTTCTGCAAGGTGTAGATGAGGACAGTAGATCTCTCAGGGTTGGCAGGAGGCCCTTGTGCCATGTTGTGTGCCTGCTGGTGCTCCCAGGTTGGCAGGARCACTAGAAAAAAACTCCAAACTGGAAATCAGAGCTGGCAAAGTCCTGAAGAGCTTTGGTGCATGAGAGCAAGCTTGGTCCCTCCAGCTTGCCGATATGTAGTGCCAKGTATGGTTAAAGATAGTCTGTCAAGGTGTTCCTTGTCTTTTGCCCTGCTCATGGCTTCTCATTCCCTCTAAGTAGCAGCTTCCTTTAGCTTTTATCAAAATAGCTGTCAAAGCTCTTGTGCCATATGACTTACTTTCCTCATGATGAACCATTCTGTGTTGCAATCCTTCCTAAACCCTTATTTTTATATTCTTGCTTTGGTGGCACGGTGGTGCTCAGGCATACCCCTGAGCAAGATCTCCAGGTATCACTGCCCACAGTCACCTGAGCCTCTGCCCTGCAGGATCTCCATGCAGCCCCCATGGTGGCTGTGGTGCTTCTCTGCACTTCCAGCACTCCTAGCTGTTCCTTCCCTGATCTCTATCCCAGTCTTCTATCCAAGCAGAGGACAGAGAGGTTTTTGCCAGCTAAGAGATTTCCTAAGACTTTGGAGCCAGAATCCTGTAGACATGTGTCCGTGTTTGCCTGAGATCTTCTGTGCTTGGCATGGCTGGCCCTGCRTCTACGGCTTCTCTCTGGGACTCCACCAAATACACTGGCTGGTGGTCCTGTGGCTCTGCCCATCCAGAGGCATGGCTGGATTCTCAGTCTCTTCCAGCACTCTTGTGGGCAATCCTCTCCAAAGAATTGACCTGTAGCTGGTACTGAGGTGCCTGGAGCAGAGTGGGAAACAGACAGCGGTTGCTACCATGTCATGAGGGTGGTTCTCAATTTAGCTGGCTGTGTGTGAGGCTTGGCCTCTCTAGCTACCTCTGCCCAAATTACAGTTTATTTTCCAAGTCACGGTGAAAACAGCTACAAAGGGCAAATGGCTCTCCCGGTGCAGTGGGAGGAATGTACATGGCTTGTTACCGCAGGGCTCAAACCGTTCTGTGTTGTCACTGCTGTCGGTATTTGGAAAAGGTGGCAGACATGGATAATAAGGGAGATGTCAAAGGTTAAACAGCAGAGATTAGATGAACACAAAGACATGTTAAGGAAGTGTTAACTTCTTACCGATTAGACAAAAAAAAAGCAGTACACAGAAAAAACCCACTGTTTCAAAGGGCCTTGGGAATCATCAATGAAACAGCAGCGTTCTGCTGCCCCAGGACTAAGGAGAAGGGGAGAAGAATAGCCTTGGCTGGCCTCAAACTAAAATCTGTGACAAGATCAAAGGAAACCAGATCTGCCTTGCCACCCCCTCCTCCTCCTAACATTACCACTGCCTCTCACTACAATAATTGAATCAGGTTTGGTGTTTGGGGAGGTGGCTTTCTGGGTTTGTTTTTAGAGTTCAGTTTAATGGATTTATTTTACAGCAAGAGGTTTTAAGCAAATCCCACTTGAGCAGCCCTTGCCGTGGCCAGAGGGAATGGGACTGACTGGTGGAAGTGAAGAGCTCCTGTCTGGGCTGGGGATGTGGCTGATGGGTGGTTATCACAGCTGATGCAGGCTGATTCTCTGCCCTCGCCTCTCACCCCATGGCCAAGGGCAGTATTACACTCTGAGCCCGAGTCCTGGCCTGAGATCCACAGCATGTATGTGAAATCACCTCTCTTATTTTCCTACTGGAAACCCACTTTTTGTCAGCCTGTAGGGAAAACTGCTACTGGTATGCTGAGAATTTAGAGCTGAGCTATTCAGTAGTGACTTGGCAGCCCATCCTGTTACTTGTGCCTCTGGCTGGCGGTCAGCACAGCTCTGTTGCTCAGAAGCAGCGTGGCTGAATTCCAAGGGTTGGAGAGGCTCCGAGGCTTCCTTTCTCTCCCGTAGTGATGTGCACTCTCTCTGTGGATTCCATGCTGTTGTTGCTATCTTGGAATTAGTTGCTGAGTGGTGCCTTGCCCTGGCTGAGACCCAGGAGAAATGATCTAAGACATCCTGGAGCCTGTACTAAGTGTGCTTGTGCTGGAGTCTGTCCCTGATCCCTACTGACAGCAACGTCATTCTTGTCCCCAGTGAGGTGGCTTTCAGCTTTAATTGTAAAAGTCCTTAAGATACAGACCATGAGTTGCTGTTGGGTCCTGTAACTCAGATTTCTTACACTAGTCTGTGAGAGAATGTCAGCTGCTTATGGGGGACTCTCCTGAGAGCAGTACAAAAAATCCTGAAGTCAGGTAGGGTGTAGGTAAAGCCTCAGTGCTACATTATAATCTTACAGCACCTAAGCGGGAAGTTCTTACCTATGCAGGCAAGGACCTTCCCACATACACACCATGATCAGTAGGACTGGGATAAATAAGCCTGTCTGCGACACTATGTGGTTGATTTAGGACCAAGTACTCCATTCCTGTCCTAGCTCCATGCGTATCCACATGTGGCCAACGGGAGACTCATTCATCTTTTGCTACATAGGTCTCCCTACTAAAGCACCACTGTTCCGTGAATCCCTCTGTGTGCATTTAGGYCACCTTTCTGTATTAGAGCTGTAATTGCTTGCTGTTTCTATGGGGTAAYTCCCCTCTTCCCAGCCTTCTGGTTTTGAGCCCCAGGTGTGCTGATGTGCAGAGCTCCAGCAGCCCTTTGCCGGGAGACTCGTGGGTGACAAGTGGCGAAGCCCTTGGCAGCCGAGCAACCGCAGTTCTGTGCCGACAGCACCACCTACAGCCACTTCCATCAGCTTCCCTTGTGCTACCAAGGCTCTCCGTGTGCACTCACTTCCCAATACCACAGCTCGTCTTGGATTATCTGAGGCTGTAGATGCTTTGGGACACTGTGTGTTTCATTCCATGTGAGATGCCATGTACTGACACAATACTATATATAGCTTTCAAAGCATTTTCCATGTTTTTTCTCCAATTTCAAGTATCTTTTGGCAGAACACCATGATGCTTCCTTTCTAGACACAGTCTTTTTTGCTTGCTACCACTAAATTATATCACTGGCATTGTGACTATAGGACATGTTTATGCAGGGAGATATGTCTGTCTAGGTGCCCATGACTTTGCTGTACTTGCTGAATCCTGCAGCATTCTGAGATGCAGAGACCAAATCAGAGGGAGATGATGGAATGTTCTAACTTCAAGAGATCTGCAAGGCGCTTACTTTGTTTTTCTAAGGAAGTGACATCTGACAGGGCAAGAGCAGAGCAAGCAACACTCTACTGGAGCCAAGATGAGTTTGCAAAGGCCAGTGCAGAGCTTGAGGGGCCCTAYTGCAAATGTGTCTGAGACAGCTGGGAGTGGAAATTGGGCAGCAGGAGATGGGTTTGCAAGGTGGGGTCCTCAGCCCTTGCACACTAGGGATAAAGGCAAGAAGGGACAGCTCCCTGTGCAATCACTGTCTGCCCTCTGTGCCAGCCCACCCCAAGGGACTGCCAGCACTACAGTGCTGTCCTTACTGACTTCTTGTTGGTGGTCCGGATGACACAGCAGCGCTGCTCCTCCTCCACGGAGACGCTGTAGACCTCCTTGGGGTAGGGAAGGTTACGGATCCGCCACTGGAAGCTGCTCAGGGTATCCTTCCTCATGAAGATAGGCTACAGCAAACAAGTACCTTTAGCAAGGCCCCTCCAGCTGTCTCCTCTCCTCCCTGTCTCCTTCCTGTAGTACCTTGTGAGCCTCCACATGGGAATAGCTGTTCTTTCACACTGGAGCATTAGGGAGTAGCTCAAGAAGCTGCCTGAGCACCACTTTCCTAGAGCTAGGGCTGCTCTGCCTTTACCCAGGGCACTGCTTGCAGGAGGCTGAAAGTGTTCAGTGAGGAAGCCTTGCAGTACAGGGTTACAGGGAAACTGGACCTCTTCCTCACAAGCAATCAAATATTGAGCTCTGTCTGTTCTAGGAGCCTGCTGGATTCAGTCCTAGCTCTGCCCCAATTTGCACAGAGCTGTGCTTGTGTTTCAAATCTGTAGAAAAGATGGGGAGAGACTAAAACATCTGCCCCCTAAGCTAGAGGGGTGTGAAGATGAAACAGGCTGTGCTCTATTAGGGAGAAGCCTATGCAGTGCCTGTGCCTTTCATTGCTATCACCTCTGTTTTCTATCCCCTGACCTGTCCTGGCACTGATGCTYCTGTCAGCCTGCTCTTTCAAGCCAGCATAGTAGCTGGCCAGCACAGCGGTACAGTTTCTCTACTTAAGGAAACTACAGATCTTTTGAAGACCACTAAAGAACCTAAGCTGTGCCTTCTTTCTAATCAGCCCAGCAGTTTTGGGGTGATTTGTAGCAGAGTGCTTGGTGCATTAAGGCTGTCTCTTGGTGATCTATGCTCTACCAACTACTGCTGTAACCACAAGACAAGGCAGTTTTAGGTGCAGTGGTACCTGCAGACCCTGACATACATTTGAGCTGCTCTCTGTTATAAGCTCTGACTCCAGTGCTCCCAGGAGCGGCGAGGTTGGCTCTCCCACTTCCACCTGCCACTTGCCGGTGCCCCCAAGAGTGTTCTTCTCTCGCCATTTTCTACCTGTGGAAGAAAGAAGGGTTTGCATTCTTTTGCTCTATAAGAACTCCAGCAACTGACTGCGAAAGCTGCCCACCCCCAGCACACTGTGATGATATGAATATACATATCTTAATTCCAGTAATTTCCACTTTGGTGTGAATTGATCTGTTAGTTGGCCTATTCCTAGGTCAGAAATTCTGTACTGAATGCCTCTCTTTTTACTAAAATTGCACCTCTCTTTGGTGCTGAAGCCATGATGGGGTTGCAACAGGTGCCATGCTGCAGCTGATGTGGTTTTGGACAAGAGCCATAATCGACACCTTGTTTGCGGTTACAGAAGCCACTAAAAAGCATATTACAACCCTTCATGTGGTACAGAAGGTGCCTGGCACTTACGGTGGCAATCCTGTCTAGTCCGAGTATGCTGTGACAGATGGGATATTTGGGGAAGATCCTGGGCTAAAGCAAGGTCTGCTATGCCATGAAAATCAGAGAACCCTGGCTGCAAACTGAACCCTACTTCCGTCCCTACAAAATTCCGCTACAGACATGCCTGTCTCCCAGAACAGGTAGGGATGATTTGTTCCTGACCAGGTAGTCCCTCTCAACCGCCCAGACTTGAAGGTATAGACCCTGTGGTTCTGCCCCGACCCATGTCTGCTGGGAGCCAGCTGAGAGCACCACTTACTCATTAACTGGCCAGTCTTAATGTCGTACTCTTCGGCCATCTCCTTCCCATCCTCGAACAAGTAGTGAATCTTCCGCTTCCCTAGAGGCAAGGCAGGTGGTGAGRGGAAACTGGATACACCTACGTCTGGATGTAGGGCTCTGTCCCACTGTCTGGGGCCCTATCCCATTGTTCGCGACCGCGTCCCACTGCCTGGGGGGACGGGGGCACTGCCCCGTGCGCCCGCGTTGATGGCCTTGTGTCCTTCCCTGGGGCTGTGCCCGGGAGCGCTCCCCTCCGCGCCCGCTCGCTGCAGGACCGCCCCAAACCCCGCGACGGGGGCAGGCGGGGGCTATCCCGACCCTCGCCCCGCGGTTACCGTCCTGCACCAGCACCGTCTTGCCGGCCGCCCGCAGCCGCTCCAGCCAGCTCGGCACCGCCATGGCGGCCCCGCCGTCGCCGCGGCAACGCGGAAACTTCCGCCCGCCGCCCGGAAGCGCTTCCGGCCCGGCCGAGGCGAGCGCGGCCTGTCCGGGGCGGCCCCGGCCCCGCTTGGTACGGGACTGTTCCCCTCTCCGGCAGCGCTCCTCTGGGCCCCGCTTGGTACGGGACTGTTCCCCTCTCCGGC